ACACACACACACACACACACGTCGCAATATGCATTTTTGCAATTTGCATATGTGCAAAAACGCACAATCACTCTTACCAGCTTTTCATCAGAGAAATTAAAATGCAAAATAGTCGTAAACAGCACTAGCAGAAGTGTTAAAAACATGTGCCAATCTAACAACAGAAACTTAAAATTTGTTCCCACACCATCTAGCCCCTCCCCATCCCTCTCCCCCCGCCCAAAAAATAAAAAATAAAAATAAACTGCTGCACAGTGCAAACGAGTTTAAAAGTTTCCATGTGTAGAAACAGCAGCAATGGATGCACATCCCTGCCATACGCAAGTCCCATTCTCGACAGGGCAGGCAGCAGTGGGAAATAATTTTTGAAAAGCCCTTTTTTAACTGGGAAATCATTAGTGTAAAAAGTACTTCTGTCCATCTACTAGCTTCCGTCCCTTCCAAGCCTCAATAAATAAGCGATTCTTTTTCAAAACACTAAAATTAGTCTGCCGACTTTGCGCATTTCATGCTCTCAAACAGAATACTACTTGAGGTGGATTTTAGCAAAATACCAATCTCAAATACAAGGATTTCAGTCCAAATACGAAATCATTTGTTCCCACACCAGCTAGCCCCCTTCTCGTCCCTCCCCCCTCCAAATAAAAAATAAATATAAATTGCTGCACAGTTTAAAAATTTCCGTACACAGAAGTATGTGACTGAAAAAAGATGAGTTTTTAGGAGGGTGCTAGGAAATTTTTTCCCTGTTACCATTTCACATAGGAAGGGATGCTTGACGAAAATTTTTTCGACAGTAATTAGTGGCACCAAATCAATCCACTGTCCAGATGCAGAACTTGAATCCCTGCCGCGTCTGCGTTACTTACTGACTTACCAGTGAACTAATGCAATTAAATTAAGCTTAGCTATCGCTAGACATTCAAAACCGATTTTTGGGCTCCCTGCTTATGAGATGTGGCAGTCTACTGTATTTCAACCAGATGAAAGAACTTCTGTCACTGCAGAAGCCATCCGTTGGGAACAATGTCTGTGAAAATGAGCAATAGTTCTTCCTAAAAGTGGTTGCCGGGGATCAATTTTCCTTTTTTATTTTACTTCTACAGTCAAGAAAAATTGTAGCTAATTCGGCATTTCCAGGAAAGATAATCTCTGATCAGCGGAATATAAAATCAAAAGACTTTTTCTTCCTCATCCCATACTCAGATTCTTTCATTTCACACATCCTTACACAGACACGAACATACACGCACACAAATACACACAAAGGCGCGCACCAACAGCCTCATATTGTCACTCTATTTCAGGAAATTAAGTCGAAAAGCCGGTAAAATAAACGCTAAAACTGCAAATTATTTGTTTGGCAAATGTAGCATTGCAAATTTATCAGCAGAAAAGTTTGGCTAGCACTTTAATCCGTGCTCTTTTAAATTCTCACTTGCGGAAACACTTATAGGGGGGAAAGGATGAAATATTTAGCTATGTTCGCTTTACCTAAATGTGCATATCT